AATCTGTGTCATTAAATTAGTTTTAATAATATTCCTGAGTAAATGACTGCAGAAACAGATGTTGAAATATAATAAGCATTTTCCTGATGCTCCCCTGCCATGCTTGCTTAGCTTGTCACTTCGTTTCCAACTTGCTCGGCCTCAAAAATTCCAGCTTGCAGCCACATTTATTAAAACTTTCTGTTTGCAAACATAAATTACATTATCAGGATGAGTATTTGGGGTGGGCCTCAGTGATCTCTCTTGAACTACTGTCATACTGTAGTGAGGGAGTCTCTCTGCCCAGAAATATTGGCAAGCTATTATTCCAACAATTACAATCCTCTATACCCTTCTCTTTTCCTGGCTAAAGGCACGTTCCTACCAAGTACGGTAAGGATAAAGATAAAAAAAAAAAAGTGGGGAAAAAAACCTTCTGTATAAAAGAATAGCAGATTCCACAGCACAATTAACGATTACTGCTCAGAGAAACAATATTGTTGGAATCTCTTTTATATTGTTGGATTTTTTTTCCCAGCTGATGAATGATAAAAGCATTGACAGCCAATTAGAATTCATTCAACTTTAAAGAGCTCCTGCATTTAAAGTGGCAGACAACAAATCTGCAACACATGCTTAGTGTGGACGCTAACATAGTTACTGTTATAGTTATTGTTCTTGGTGTGAACGGGCTTTAAGAGTGCCACCCAAGCTACTGGGTCCACATTTAGTTTATTAGCTTTTTGTCTTTTTACAGTGCCTAGTGACTCCCTCTGTTCATGGGTGTCTATAACTAATAAATAATCAAATTAAACAATAACAAAATGCATTCAAATATTAATATTTATTAAGTTTAACACACATTTGTCAATGCTAAACATTCCTTATTTATCTGTAATATCAAGATGCTAAAATTGTTATTTATACAGTGATACTGTCATTCAGTGTGTTTATTAGCTTTTTGTCTTTTTACAGTGCCTAGTGACTCCCTCTGTTCATGGGTGTCTATAACTAATAAATAATCAAATTAAACAATAACAAAATGCATTCAAATATTAATATTTATTAAGTTTAACACACATTTGTCAATGCTAAACATTCCTTATTTATCTGTAATATCAAGATGCTAAAATTGTTATTTATACAGTGATACTGTCATTCAGTGTAATGGATGACACTGTGGTGTAACAGAATTTAAATTACACTACATGACAAAACCATTACCCTGAATGACCAAACTTCTACATCAGCTAATATTTCAGGCAATCAAATGGCCACCTATTTCAAACAGTGAACCTGACCAGTAAAGTTAATCACAATTATTCTATCTACTTGTTTTTAAAAAAAAATCTAACATTAAAAGTGTTTTTTGGCATTTCACTGAATGACGTGTTTTTTTGTAACCTATGTTACCACACCATGAAAAGGTGAAATTATCAAGTATTTAAGAGCAATAAACTCACTTTTCTGCAGCACCACATGGTCTTCCAGGTGCCATTTAATAATATCACAGACTGCCGAATGACTATCAGTTTTTTATATGAATTCAGAGTAACTTCTTATTCCTGTTACACTGAATGATCTCAGTTAAACTGCATTTTTGGGACAAAAGTCCCCCGTCCATTTAAAAACAATAAGACATAGTCCTTTTAATATAACACAGCCAATACTTACTTGAAAATGCCAAGACAACAAATATATTTTTTAACTTGGTATTTTATATGTTTAGTTAAAGATGTAATGGTACAATCAAAGTCTGGACCATTACACTGAATGACAATTTTACACTTTGGAACATTATTTCCCCCATATTTTGACATTTTATTGTCACAAAAGTTATTTGAAATATGAAAGTAGACAATTTACTTGCATTTAAGATTTTTTTTGTGCATTTAAAATGACTTTTGTAAATGTAATTTGAAGCGGACACCAAAATGGTGACGTCTCGTCTTTGAACCATACATATATATACATACAGTGGTGTGAAAAAGTGTTGGCACCTTCCTGATTTCTTATTTTTTTGCATGTTTGTCACACTTTAATGTTTCAGATCATCAAACAAATTTAAATATTAGTCAAGGATAACACAAGTAAACACAACATGCAGTTTTTAAATGAAGGTTTTTATTATTAAGGGAAAACAAAATCCAAAACTACATGGCCCTGTGTGAAGAAGTGTTTGCCCCCCTGTTAAAACTGTGATTAATCCCACCCGAGTTCAATTTCTCTAGCCACACCCAGGCCTGATTACTGCCACACCTGTTCGCAATCAAGAAATCTCTTAAATAGGACCTGCCTAACAAAGTGAAGTAGACCAAAAGATCCTCAAAAGCTAGACATCATGCAGAGATCCAAAGAAATTCAGAAACAAATGAGAAAAAGTAATTGAGATCTATCAGTCTGGAAAAGATTATAAGTGTGTATATATTATGTGTATGTGTGTGGAAAACCTGTTTTGTTTTATTTATATGAACATATTTTGCACAATATTTACTCAATATTCATTCATATTCAAGTATATGAAATGGTAATAGATGGTAATAGTCAAGTCAGGTCACCTTTATTTGTATAGCGCTTTATACAATACTGATTGTGTCAAAGCAGCTTTACAGTGTCAAACATGAAAATAGTTTGTCAATAATGCAAGAAGACCATAACGAAGATGGAAGGGGGCCAACACATTTTCACACCCTGTGTATATATATATATATATATATATATATGTGTGTGTGTGTGTGTATATATTATGTGTATGTGTGTGGAAAACCTGTTTTGTTTTATTTATATGAACATATTTTGCACAATATTTACTCAATATTCATTCATATTCAAGTATATGAAATGGTAATAGATGGTAATAGTCAAGTCAGGTCACCTTTATTTGTATAGCGCTTTATACAATACTGATTGTGTCAAAGCAGCTTTACAGTGTCAAACATGAAAATAGTTTGTCAATAATGCAAGAAGACCATAACGAAGAGTAATTTTTCCAGCTAAAATCAGTTCATTGATGATTCTTAGGGCCCGTTCACACCAAGGATGATAACTATAAAGATAACGATAAAGATATAGTTCTAAATATCGATCTCAATATTAAAGAATAGCAGAGTCCACACCACAACTATAATGATAAAGGCACAGAAAGAAACGATATAGTTGGAATCACTTTCAATTAGTGCTGGGCGGTATGATCAGAAATTTGTCACTGTATTTTTCTAAATTATACCGGTTTCACGGTACATGACGGTATTTTTTTTTCATGCATGACCGGGTGTTAACCATATTTTCTACTGATTGAGAGAGGAAATGCTGCAGTATATTGACTTAGAATGCCCTATTTTACTGTCATGATGAGTGAATATTGTCAAAAAATACCACACTAAATAGTGACTAAACACGACCCCTTTTAATACATGTTAACCAGGAGTCACTCGCATTTATAATCGTGGCATCGTCTGATAAAATCAACATGCATCTACACTAAAACGCCTCCAGCAGCACTGCGCTCGCGCTCACACTCACACTCACCTTTCTCTTCGGAGGTGCTCTGATAGCCGCCGTCATCCTCAAGAGGAGGTTTATCATTTCTTAAATATAATAGATACAGATTTTATAAATAACAAAGTTGTATATCATACTATCCCCCCCAATTATATTTGCAGAAGGGCGCAAGGAGTGAGGGAAGAGGCCACTGAAAAAGAGACGCTTGTGACTGATGTAGAAGAGCACACAACCTACTGTCAAAACTTTGATAATGAGTTGTACGATCCTGAAGAGGTACAATGATGTTTCTAAACTGTTTCTATAACTAACTGTGTGTGTGTGTGTGTGTGTGTGTGTGTGTGTGTGTATATATTATGTGTATGTGTGTGGAAAACCTGTTTTGTTTTATTTATATGAACATATTTTGCACAATATTTACTCAATATTCATTCATATTCAAGTATATGAAATGGTAATAGATGGTAATAGTCAAGTCAGGTCACCTTTATTTGTATAGCGCTTTATACAATACTGATTGTGTCAAAGCAGCTTTACAGTGTCAAACATGAAAATAGTTTGTCAATAATGCAAGAAGACCATAACGAAGAGTAATTTTTCCAGCTAAAATCAGTTCATTGATGATTCTTAGGGCCCGTTCACACCAAGGATGATAACTATAAAGATAACGATAAAGATATAGTTCTAAATATCGATCTCAATATTAAAGAATAGCAGAGTCCACACCACAACTATAATGATAAAGGCACAGAAAGAAACGATATAGTTGGAATCACTTTCAATTAGTGCTGGGCGGTATGATCAGAAATTTGTCACTGTATTTTTCTAAATTATACCGGTTTCACGGTACATGACGGTATTTTTTTTTCATGCATGACCGGGTGTTAACCATATTTTCTACTGATTGAGAGAGGAAATGCTGCAGTATATTGACTTAGAATGCCCTATTTTACTGTCATGATGAGTGAATATTGTCAAAAAATACCACACTAAATAGTGACTAAACACGACCCCTTTTAATACATGTTAACCAGGAGTCACTCGCATTTATAATCGTGGCATCGTCTGATAAAATCAACATGCATCTACACTAAAGAGCAGCTATGCGGTTGTTTTGGCTATATTACTTTTTTGTCTCATGCAGCGCACTGCCTGCGTCTGAGTAACAAACTAAAAACAGCAACAGGTCAACAGGTGCGCTGTTTTGTACTCCTTTATTGAGGAGTCGGCTGCGGTGTGGCCAACTGAATGCGCTGCTTCTCTGCCGCTCTGCCGCT